AGGAGGGACCTGGTCTAGTAAAGGCATAGTGACAAAAGTGAAGTTTGGGTGGACAGAGGTGGGTAGGTGTGATTGGTGGGAGGTGGAGTACTGTGAGGACAGTGTAGAGGACAGCGTAGGGAGCCTGGCTTTATTCCAAGGGCAGAAGCCAGTGGTGGGCATTGAGTAGGGGTGTGCCCTGATCTGATTTACACTTTTGCACACACACCCCCTCCCCCGCTGCCGAGCGGAAAACTAATCGTTAAGCCGGAAGTAGAAGTGAGGGCCAGGGAGGAGCTATTGCTCTGGGCAGGCAAGAGGTGATGCCATTGTACACCTGGCTGGGAGCTGCAGAAGGCGAGACAGAAGGCCTTGCCTGATGATACCAGAATTAGGAGCTTCTGGAAGGAATTGAAGGGGTGAACAGGGATCCAGGTTTCAGTGTAAGCTATGCTCAACGCTATTCTCTGTGTTCTAGAGGTGCCTCACATTGACTCCCCCAGGGTGGTATTGGCAAGAAGAGGAGGCAGCAATTTTCTCTCAGACCCGATAACCAAGGCCTACAGCCTCCACCCTATTCACCAGGTCTGCCTTCCTAGCAATGGACTGATGCCAGAGAAGGTGTTTATTTTCAGGCTCCCTCTGCTCTCCCTTCCCAGGCAGGCTGCTGGGTGTTGCTCTTTTCTTCCAGCTCTCCCTCAGAAGTCTCACCTCCAAGCAAGTTGCCTTGTTTGGAGCATGAAGTTCAGTGTGATTTTAGGTAAATTACTACCCCTCTCTGGTCCTCCCTTTTTCCTTTTCTATAAGACTGGCATGATAAAAGGGAATGGCAGCCTACAGGTACTTTAGGACAGAGATGCTATGTAGAGACATGGTACTGTTTTGGAGGGGTAAGACAGGAGGAAGGACCTGTGTTGATATTCTGGGGTTCCCTTGTCCGAAGCCTGGTATCCCTGTTGCCACAGGAAAACAGATTTTGTTTTGGTATTAAGTCCTAGTCATTTGGGGTGAGGGTCAAAGTTAGTTACCTACATGCCAGGGCTGGCTGCCACAAACCCCACCTGGGTTCAGGGTAGATTCTGCAGTGAAGTTTGATCCTGGGCAATTTGGAATGCAGCTCCAGCCTCGTATGATGGCTATTCCCTAGCTCCAGAGGTACTTGGGGCTGAGACAAAGGTCTTTCCTTGTCCAGATCTGGTTTTCCACCTGGGAAGTGGGAGACGGTGCCTGATAGGCAAGGTTAACTGAGAAAGTAGATCAAAGGGAAGGAGAGAAGAGCCAGGTTTGGGCCAACAGGTTTGTGTGGCATCTGGGTGGAGAGCTGGGGAAAGAGCTGAGGGTAGAATTGCAGTGAAGAGACTGCAGGTGTGTTAGGTGGAGCTCAGGAAGGCCATCAAGGTAGGTTCCGAAAATTGAGCAGAGGCTAAGCTGTGGACCTAGAGGCCAGGGAACTCACAGTTCTGGGAACAGAGCTGAGGGTGCACCGCTTTGCCTTGGGACCAAAGTAAGCACCAACATGACCCCAGAGGGTCTGTCCTGGAGTGAAGGAAGTGGCTAGAGTGCAACAGGAAAGCATTACTTCAACAATTGTAGAGACACAGGCAGCCTGGTAGCTGGCGTAATCTGGACAGTTGGCCCTGCCAAAGGGGTACTATCGGATGTCCGAGGAATGGAGGAAGAATAGCCTAAAACCCTAGGGAGGACAGTGACAGGAGGGTCTTTAGAAGTAGGAATGATGGATGTTTCAGGAGAGATGTCTTGGGGGCTGTCACTTAACCTCTCTGGACCTCCATCTCCTCATAGAGGCTGTTGCAAAGATCAGGCCTGGTCCTGTCTGGCTCAGAGCCAAGGCATGAAGCAGGTACCAATATGTAGGGTCTCCCCTGAAGGGTCCCTCCCAGGTCCAGGCAGCTGCAGGCAGCTTGCTTGATGCTTCCATTTGGTCGCTGGGTGGCTGTTTGGATCCCTTTTATGTGTTTTACTTCTTTTCCTGTTGTCAATCAAAATCCCTGCCGAAGTCCTTATAGTAGGACTGGCTAAGAATGTGAATGCTTGGCAGGCTCAGCCTGGGAGGGTTCAAGCTGCCGCTCATTCGTCCTATGAGCCACATATGCCAGGCGGGGGTGGGGGTGGCAGGGGAGCCCACATCTGCTCCCCATATTGCCCATCTCGGCCCCTGCTGCTGCCCAGGAAGAAGAGGTGGCCCAGCTGGGGGAAACGAAGGAGAGAAGGAGTATAAGTGACTCTAAGTGAGCAGGAAGGGCCCAGACCTAGGGTACTGGTGCTAGGGTGGGATTCCAGTGTGGGATTCCAGGTTGTGACAACAAAGCAAAGCTCCTTATCAAAAATACCTTTCTGGAAGCCAGACCAAGGGAAGGCGAAGGGAAGGGAAAGAAGGCCTGAAACCAAAAAAATGCTGATGGGAAATACTTAGAGAACCCACAGGCCCAACAGAAAAAGACACGTGAGATGAACAGGGTGGAGGGCTAGAAACAAGGGCTAGAAACAAGAGAAAGCCCCAGAATGGAAGCAGTACAAAAACCAAGGAAAAGCTGTTCAGGGTTTAGAGACTCCAGTTTTGCTTTTTGTGCTCTTGTGTCTTGGCGGGCTGGGCTGCCCCATAAACCTTGGGATTAGCAGCTCTGCTGTCCTGGGCTGGCCCAGAGCTAATGGAAGCCACCTGGCTGGCCACAGGCCCCATCCTCGGCCCAACAGGGTCCCTCAAAAATGACTTTATTTGCAAATTTCTGGCTGGGGAGCAACACTGAGACCAGGGGCCAACACAGTACACCCCATCCTCCATGAAACCAAGTAATACCTCCCACAGCCACACCATCCCCACAACAGAGTACCCACATCAGGATTTTAGCTCTGGGTGAATAGTTCAGAAGAACAGAGGGTTCCCCATGGAGAGCCCTATGGTGGGGATCCTTTGGAGGGCATTCTGGAGTCCAGGGGCAGATCACCTCTCTGGGACCCAAAGCCAAGGCTGCAGCAATACTGACAGGCAGGAGATGTGATCACCCCCACACCCAAACAGCTTAAGGGAGGCACAGGGAGAGGAAGAATGCTGTTCAGGATCACACATCAAGTCAGATGCAGGAGACCGGACATTGGGGAGGAGAAATGAGTGCTCAGGCTTGTCTCGGGAAAGGGAGAAGGAGAGGATGAGCTGGCTGGAGGGGGTGTGTATGTGTGGTGGGATACTGGGGGCTCAGGAAGCCCCTGCCCTCCAGAAGCCAAGAGAAAAGAGATGAAGACCCTGGCAGGAGCTGGTGGAAAGTAGTGGGTGCTGAGACTGGGAAGAGGGCATTAAGGGGACAATTGCTATTTACCTGACCCTAGGGGTCAGGTGGAAGCTGCTGTGCACCAGGGAGGCTGGATCCCAGTTAGCCACAGGCTCCTTGTCCTATGGGAAAGAAACTTCCTGAGAAAGAGGACGGTTTTGGTGTGCACATACACACTCACACACACTCACACATTCACTTGCATATTGAAACAGGAAGAGCTACACCAGATTCTAGACTGATTTGGCTCAACACAGGAAAATGTTCTCTAAGAACGCAGAAATGGACCTGCAAGAAGCGAGGAAGCCCTTGACATAGATGGAGGCACTGTGCAGACCCTTGATGGATAAGGAAGTGAGGTGAAGGGACTGTCAAAGGTCAAGGGCACTCGAGCTACTCACCCTATGGAGCATTTTCCAAGTGCCAGACAAGTGTCATATAGTTGTCAGGCTTGTCCCCTTTTGGTCTCACACAAATGATATGAGGTCCGAATTGTAGTAAGCCCTGTCTTGATTGACAAGGAAATTGAGTCTTAGAGAAATAAAGGGACTCCCAGCGAAGAAGTAGAATTTCTGGGTTTGCCAGAGACCAAGTTCAGGGACTCAGTCCTAGTGGGGACTGGGACCCCTGTGGTGGCCCAAAGAAGGAGGCAGTATGGACAGACAGGGGTTGGGTGGCACCTTGATCAGTGCTGCATTCTCTCTGGGGCCCTCATCCCTGGCCCATTGGGGAAGAGAACCTGGGGGCCGGCTTCCCTGCAGTCCTTTCCTGGAGGCCGGACTCCCAGCTGGCCAGGGCTGCCACCACACTGTGAGGAGGGGTGGATGTCATTTTATCTCTGACAGAATCAAGTTCTCTGATCTCACCCACAGCATTGCTACATATGGGCTCACGGGGAGGTGCAGAGACACTGTAGCTAGGCCCAGCCATCCACTTCCAGCTCTCCTGAGCAGCAAAGAACAAGTCCCTTCCCTGCTTTGGGCCTCAGTGTGCTCATCTGCACCCTAAGGGGCACACCTGAGTTGCCCAAGGGCTCTGCCAGCTGTCTAGTAGAAGGCCATGATGTGAGAGAGCTCAGAGTTGCAGACGGGCCTCCCCAAGCCCTGATGGAGCATCCCACATCTCACTGCGTAGTATGTACTCACGGGCGGCAAGGCCGGTGGGAGAGGACTTAGCCGGAGAGGACGGGTGGACTCGTACTCATTACTTGAAGGATTGAGGCTGTGTGGAGCACCTACACTATGCCAAGCACTCCACTGCTCCACTGGGTGCCGGGGATGCAACAGAGAGCCCCTCACCTCCAGGAGCCTTACGTTCCTGCCCCTGCCGCACCAGCTCCCTTACCTCATGGCCGGGCGCGGCCAGTCCTCTTATCTACTGTAGTCCCTTCTTAGTTTCCAAATGTCCTCATCAGGGTTGGTAGGGGAGTTCAAGAGGGAATTTGCAATGCTCAGATCCCCACCCACAGTCCCATGAACAGTGGGCCTTGGGGAAGGAAGATAGCAGAGATAAGGATAGGAGAGTGGGGAGGTTGAGAGAAAAGAGGCAAGACAAAACCCAAGAGAGGGGGAGGAGGGAGAGGAGAGTGACAGCAACAGTGGGAGCTGCACAGGCATAGTGCCCATCACTCCATTGCCCCTGCGTCATAGGGAGGAGCAGTTGCCAGGCAGAAACACCTATGGTCACAGGCTTCAATCAGGGGGAGGCTGGCCTAGTGCCAGGACTGACTCTTACCTTGCCAACAAAAAGCTGTAGGGTGACAGCAGATCCCTGGGGAAGACAGGAGCACAGAGTGAGGACCAGGAGCAGGGAAAGGGCTTTTGGACAGATGCCACTCATTATTTTCATGCCTGGAATTCCGATGCGGATGGATTTGAAGTGTCTGAGATGAGATGAAAAAAGAGCCCTAGGTATGGAATCAGGCAGATGACCTGGGTTCAAGGAGCCACATGAGAAACCTGACTGAACCTTAGTTTCTTCAAATGTAAAATAGAGATAATGCCATTACCCAACGTGGAACTGAAATGATTCAACCGAAGCAGTAGTGCTTTACAAATGCGAGGCACTGGTTGATCCTTTCCAAAGGGCAAGGGCAGCACAGGGACATGGGGTCAGACTTCAGAAGGGACTTGATGGTCTGGGGAAGGCTGGGTTGGAGAGGAGAATTCTGTGAGCTGAAGACTGAAAAGGGAAGCTTGTGGTGTGGGAGGGCCAGTGTGGGCAGTGAGGTGAGGAAAGCCTGTGTTGTAACCACCCCTGACTGTCCAGGACACCCGGTTCTGCAGCCAGAACATCTGGGTCCTGCCCGCACATCTCTCTGGACCCCCTCCAGTGTCCTGGTGCTGACAAGAGCATGCACTTTTGAATCAGAAAGCCCAGGGCTCCAATCTTGGTTCAGTTCCTCTTCAGCTCTGTGGCCTTGGACAAGTCAGTTATCCTCAGAGCTGTCAGTTTCTTCATCTGTAAAATGGGCTCATAAAGTCTAGCTCATTGAGTTTGCAGGGCTCCTGGCAGATGTTGAACATGTGAGTTTTTAGGTTGCCCATCTTGTTAATTAAGCAGGCCTCAACTTCCCCACTGTCATCGAATGGGAGTTGGATGAAATGATCTCTCAGGTCCCATTCAGCACTGACATGCAGAAGCAGATCACGAGGGCCTTGTGCTTTATGATTGTGTCCAGTGATTCAGTTACCAGCAGGAACTTGATTGTATAGGTACTCTATAGGTGCTGGAGGATGGGAAAGAGGGCCGTTATTACAGGAGTAACAGAAAAGAGGACCCCGGCGCCCTAGAGAAGGCCCAAAGGAGAGAGCTGTTGACCTTGCCCAGCCATCACTGCTGGAAACCCCACTGTTAGGTGAGGTTGGAGGCTTACCTGGGGCTGGGCCTGGGGACATCCACTCCAGCAATCCAGAGCACAGAGTCCCCTCTCCAGCCCATGTGTTCCCCTTCTTTCAGGAAGGGAAAAGACTTAAGGGATTTAGACCTCATGGAGAAAAAAGAGAACTAGAACCCAAGTCCACATCTGGCCTGACAATATGTCTAACCCTAAGCTCTGCCCACTGAAGCTTGGGGAGCCAGGAAGCCTGGGGCAAGAGAGCAGCTGGTTGTTCCCTCCAAGCTGCCTTTCTGGTGACATCACTGACAACACAGGCGCCCATGTGGGGCAGAGATGACCACCCCCATTTGGATCCATCCAAAGGGAGGACAGAGAAAGAACAGGGGAAGGGGGGTTCTGCAGAAGCTGCAGTTCCTGCTTTGACTCAGCTGAGAACCCCTTTGGGCATCATTCTCTGTTCTCACCATCTATATGATGCCCCCTGCCCGCTCCACCATGCAGAGCAACACTGTGTGTGATTAAGGCGCCTCCACAGGGAAAGGTGAGCAGCAGGCATATATGCCACCCCTTGCACTTGACACCATCATGCACCTTGATCTTCCCAGCACTGGTGTCTCTGAGTCTGCTTCTGAGGGGCCATCACTGGACAGCCCCTAGTGCCCCTCCTGCCATTCAGAGGCACTTCCAGCAGAGACTAGCAAGAGCTGCACTGGCAAGGCCCCACACCTTTACCTACAGGGAAAGTGATGGGCTCAGGGCCACCCTGTGAGACAGGAACAGTGGCAGGACTTGCCCGTGGGTCTCCTCCCTCCTGATCTAGGCAGGGCCCTTCCATGAGGCAGGCATCTCAGTGCCTCTCAACGGGAGCAGGGAAGGACATGGGTCTTCAGAGATAAAGAAGAATTGGCCCTTTGCATCAGATAAGGGGTAGGTGGGAGTTTTCTTAGTCCTTGAACTTAAGGGCCTTGTCCCTATCCCAGGAGCCTCAGAACCCTTAAGACTATAATTGCCAGATAAACTACAGGATGCCCAGTCAAATTGGAACTTGACATAAACAGCAAATATCTTAGTACAAGTATGCTCCAAATCTTGCATGGGACATACTTGTACTGAAAGAAAATTTGTTGTTGGTCTGAAACTAAAAGTTTATTGGGTATCCTGTTTTTTATTTGCTAAATTTGGCAGCCCTACTCCTGCCAGTCTGCCTCAAGGAACAGGAGGAGATGGCTGCCTTCAGGGCTCTGGCCCATGGGGCAGGGACTTCCTACTCTCAAATCCCCAGGCCTCAGCTGAGCCACTAGAGCAGCTTGCTGGCTGAGAAAACATGTTTAATTTGGTCGCTCATTAATTTGCACAGCCCTCTCCCTATGTTCTCCTGGGCCTGGCATTGCTCTAATGAGTTGAGGCTGGTAATGAACAGGAATCCCTTCGTGTGGAACGGCACAGACCTGTGAGCACTGAGTGGGCCCTCTGCTGGCACTTCATCTGACCCACCTCACAATGAGGTAGATGTCATTGAGGGCCTCTGAAGAGAGACCCTTCCTCTCAGATAAGCCTCGGTGTCTAAAGGGTGATGGATTTAGCAAGCATGGAGAGGCATGGAGTCTGGCAGAACAGAGAGCAGGCTGCTCACTCAGGTAGGAGAATGGGTGGCAAAGTCCCAATATGGGACCTTGGAAATGGAGTAAGAAGATTCCAGCATACAAAGGCAACAGAAGGCTGAGTCCAGGGCCTGGAGAAAACTCAAGGCCACATTCCCCACAGTGAACACTTAACTCTGGGATCTTCTGTGGAAAAAATCCTTTGTGGTCAAATTTGTTTGGAAAACACATTAGGCTGATGATGCAAAGAATCATATATACCCTCAGTAATTTGCTTGTATGTGAACTTATTGAAGGCTCTGAGAAGTCCTGCAGTAAAGGAAACAACCCCCAAATTATTCACATCGGTTTCACTTGCATTTCCCATATTTATTTGATAGGGAATCTTTTTTTTTTTTTTTTAAACCAGAATGCCTTTTGCCCTTCCCAGTCACTCATGCTCTCTGGGACACACTTTGATATAAGATGTTCTGTGGGCCTGCCTCTGGTCCTGGAGGCCATGCCTGGGGATTCCATCACCCTGACCTAGTTCCTATGGCTCAGCGGGGTCCCGTGTCACCTCCCTTCTTTCATCTCACATGAAACATTTCCCTCAGGCTCTATTTTTACCCATGACAATGCATATCTATGTGTGCATATTCCCACATATATCTGTCCCTGGGTATGTGTGAGCACACTGGCGATAGCCCTGACAAGCCAAGGCTGATGCAGAGAGCCCAAGAATGTCAGTTGGAGGGAGAATGAGAGAGAGAGATTTTGACTAATTCATTATTTTCTTTCCCAGTCTCCTTCCTTGGGTAACTTGAACTTCTTCCGCCATTCCAGCCACCAGGAGACATTCTAGAAGTCAGTTAGTGACAAAGTCCATGCTACTCACACCATCTGTCTGAATTCCTGGGCCGGTTCCCTTTAGGGTTGTGAAGAAAAGACTCCAGAGCACAGAGGAAAAGTGGCAGAGAGAAGCAGAGGCTGCATTCTGGGCCTGGTGGGGCCAGTTTAAACATATTCTACTTCAAGCAATTTGCAGAGATTTTAAAAACAGCAGTAAAGCCTCTATCAGGAGCCCAGGTCAGGACAGATATCATTTCCATGAGGGCAGGAAATGTGTCTGTTATTATCCCTGTGTTTCTGGTGCTTAACACAATGTCTGACATATAATCCGCCGGTGTGTCTACACACATGCATACATGCATGTAACAAGTGTTCACTGAGCACTTACTATGTGCCAGGCATTCTCCTAACAACTTTAAATGGGATAACTTACTGAACCCTCACAAGTACCCTCTGAGGTGAGTAGTATTATTATACCCATTTTATGGATGTAGACACTGAGTCACCAAGGGACAAGTAACTCACCTCAGGTCACCTGGACAATACAAAGTACAGTCAGATTCAACATAGGCAGTCTGACTCCAGAGCTCACTCTCTAAACCACTACTCCCTACTTGGCGGTTCTATGGATAATTGTTGGGCTGATGGATTAATGCATGCATGCATGCATGCATGCATGAATAAATGAAATAGCCATGATGGTGGCCCACAACCTTCTGGCAGCCACGTGCTAAGCATCCAGCCTTGCCAGGGCCTTCCTCCAGAAGCAGCATAACAGGGAGCATGCCCTCCTTGCTGTCCCCCAATATCACCTCTTTCCTGTCCTCTTCCCTCTGAGCCTTTGCCATATTTTCTTGTCACCCCCCTACTCCAGAGCTCCTTCCAGCCTCCCTCAGCCCACTAGCTCCTTGTCCCTCCTGCTTGCCCAAGTCGCTGTCTCCTCTCCCTTGTGTGCATGCATGCTTGTGTGCTTGCATGAGCACCACAAACCCCACAAGCTGTAAAAACAAAACAAGGAGCCACCTTACCCACGTGCTGTGCCTTTGATGTCCCCTTTCTGGCAGCTGTGGGGTGCTGAGCCACCTTCCACAGGCTTGAGTCCCAGAGGGTGGGTGCTGGTAGAGCAGCGTCCACACACAAAGGCCCAGCCAAGAAGAACATGGGTCACCAGAAACCCAGCAAGCAGAAGGCTGGGTGGGAGAACCAGACTGCTGCCTGGCACCTGGGGCATTCTCGGATCCTCAGGACCTAGGGCTCCTTCAACAGCCTCCAGTCCAGGGTGTGTGCAGGGACTAGCTGCTAAAAGCATTCATGAATAATAACCACAACCAGGCCTCTTGTGGGACCAGGCCTCACGTGAGTCCAGCAATCTGGCACACCGCGACACTTTTGTACCCATTTCCCTAATTGATTTGCATTTTTGGCATAGTTGGTAAAAGCTCCGACTTTGGATTCAGCTGCTGCTTCCGAGCTGGGGACATAGGGAAAATCACTTCAACCTACAGAGCCCGTGTCTGCACGTTTAATTGAGGACAACCAGAATCCTAGCTCATAGGGATGCCAGGAGAAGAAATGGACAAAGCAGTGTCTGGCACTCAGAGTGACAGTTGATATTCATTTATTGAGTTTGTATCATAGGCCAGAAAACACACTAAGTTATTTTCTTCACACAGTCTTTTCAAGAATTCTGTGAAGTGCAAGAGGACACAGAGACTTATGAGATGCATGTGACCTCATCATGGAAGAAGAGGTAAGATTGGGATTTGAAAGCAGGTCTGTCACCAATGCCTATGCTCCTTGGGAGAACTAAAACACTGAAGGTGGCACTTGTCTGGGTTTGAAACCAGGCCAGCTCAACTGCAAACCTAGTGCCCTTTCCATGGCCCCTCTAGAGTGGCTTCTGTTGCCTGGCTGAATGAGACCCATCCAGGCCTCTCCCAGCCCCTCTGGCTCCCTAAGCAGATTTCCTGTCCTTTGCTGTCCCCACCCAAATGGTGTGGATGGGAGGATGCTCTTCAGAGAAGGTGAAGACAGGGGAAGTCTGAAGGTGGACTCTGAGCAGAGGGACCTGGACTCATGTGTCCCTGGAATCTGAGTAGCCAGGCCAGCAGGTGACAGGTATACAACTGCCTGCCTGCAGATACTGGTTATGTCTGGTCCAAGTCGCCACCAACCAGCCTTATATGCACCAGAGGTGCTTTTCCCATGACATGTGTTAGCACCTGACCCTGAGGAGGTGGGCCCCTAATCACCATTCCCTGCTTAAGGACAAGGTGTTCTTGGCTGGTCCCTCACAAGTTTGGGGGAGCTGCTCTAATAGGAGAAGGTTATGGTGACCAGAGGAAGAGGAAGAAGAGAAAGTGCACTTGCGTTGACTCCTAAGCCCTTGCTCCTGTAACCCTGACTCCTCCTCCTCGCAACACTTGGTACATACCAGCCCTGCCCATTGCCAGCAGCACCCCTGGGTTTCCACAAAGGCTGAGATCAGAAGCCCCTGTGGGCTGCCCCTTGGGCTCCTTCCACAAGGGATAACATACAGACCAGCTGGGCTGCCATTCTCAGGCCTCTGGGAACAGACCTTCTCAAAGGAAGAGGAAACAGAGTGAGCCCCGGCCATACACTGGGACTGGTCATGTGGTTCAACCCCCACAACCCAGCAAGGCTGTCATTATTTTTTTTAAAGATTTATTTATTCATTTTATACAAGAACTGGGGTACAGGTCAGAAGCGCGGGAGGGTGAGAGAATTCACCAGAGACAGAGCGGGGAGCAGAGCAGGTAGACGGACCAAAGACACTGCTGAGGGGAGCAGCGAGCGAGGCAGGAGAGGTCTGCTGCGCCATGTGGGGTTATCCCTGGCTGGAGGGGAATCGAACCGGCGCTGCAGAGGCTGTGGATGGCTTCGCAGCGCGGTGCTCAACCGTTGCACCACCGGGGAGGCCCAAGGCCGCCATTATTGTCAACATTTCACAGAGAAAACAGCTGAGGTCTGGTGAGCCAAGCGACTTGCTGAGGGCCCCCTGGATTTAGGACTGGCTTCCAAGCCAACAGGCACAGTCCCATAGAATATTGATTCTTGGCGGGATGAGGAGTGTGGCCAACTTCAGCTCTGTGGTGCTTGAGGAATGAGGCATTCGGGACTTGAGGATCCACCTGAGAGCTGAGGTTTTATTCCTGTGAGTGCACACTCACAAAAAAAACAGATTACTGGGCCTCCCCGGTGGCGCAGCGGTTGAGCGCTGGGTTGCGAAGCTGCCTGCGGCCTCTGCAGTGCCGGTTCGATCCCCGGCTGCTCCCCGGCCACTGGAGGAGTATCCCACATGGTGCGCAGACCTCTCCTGCCGCCCGCTGCTCCCCTCAGCAGTGTATTTCGTCAGTCTGACTGCTCTGCTCTCCCCTCTGGCTCTGGTGAATTCTCTCACCCTCCCGTGCTTCTGACTGTGCTCAGTGCTTGTATAAATAAATAAAAAATAAATCTTTAAAAAAAAAATTAAAAAAAAAAACCAGATTACTCATTTTCAGTAGAAGGTTCTGGAAACATTCTTGGTCCTCTCTGCCTCCTTCCACAGAGCATGCTGGAGCTCTTTCTGAAGCTTTGGGGACATAATCACGAGCCCCCCCCCCCCATTATTATTAGCACCATGCCATGGCGATCTCCTTTGCTCCCTTGCTTGCAAGAAATGCCCAGAGCTTGTTTGAGTTCTTTGAGCTTTTGTACCTGGTTGGGGTTGTTTTGGGTTTTACTAGTTTTGCTGCCTACTCCCCTGCTGTTAAGTCATCAGCTCTCACTTCTTGACACTTTTAGTGTGCTTGCTTCCAGCAGCCCCTCTGCCCTCCTTTTGATTTACTGCTTCTAATTTGCTGTGGACTTGGGAACCAGATAACCAAGCTTGTTAGAGTAAACAGGAGGGGAAAGTAGAGAGGCTCCTCCTGCAGCTATTGACCTAAGCTGGGGCACAGGTATCCAAGAACCAAGGGGGTGGCCCACAGCACTCAGCTCTGGGCACTCAGCTCCATTCCAACTGTCAGAAGGCTCCTTATTATAATTTTCAACGGGGGTGACCTCTGCACCAGGGAGAGTCTGAGGCCAGTCCTTGTAGCCCTAAACTGACCAGTGCCTTACCCTTTCCCTGAGCACACAATTGAGGAGTGACACACCTATGGTGAGAGGATTGCTGAAGCTGACTGAGCAGCAGCGGGGGATGTAATGGACAACCACCCTTGTCTGGAGGCAGAGGACTCAGCAAGAAGGCCTCTGGAGGCCTCCAGTATCTCTCCCTTTCTGGGCCTGTCTTTCAGAGGTGCTGCAGAGAATTCTGGACTGAGGAGGCTCCTTCTCTCAGTCTTATCCCTTGTTCAGCCAGGGAGACGGGAGTACTCATTCCAGTGTCCATCACAGGATGGGGGCCCATTGAAGGTGTCAGTCAGGTAGGCTGGTCCCCCTTCTGTATACATTTGGGTCTAGTCCTTCATGCTATGATGGTTGCCCCCCATGACACACACACACACACACACACACACACACACACTGATGCACTGACAGGAAACAGGGCCTCACTGGTCCTCGCTGGCCACCTCAGCAGCCCAATGACATGCCTCTTCCCTAGCTTGGAAGAGGGAGTTGTCACTGAGAGGGAAGCACCGAGGCAGATTTGGACTCAGATGGAGTTTGAAGCTCCCCAAAGTCATTTTTCAACCTGAAAACTGAATCAAGCTGATCTGGAATTGGGGCTGGAAGATAAATGTAGACCCCATGGTGTCATTTTATGGTCAATTTTCAGAATGTAACTGCACTTTAAGCACTAACACTGAGTAGCAGGAAAAAACTTCTTAACCGTAAGATCTATTAAGAGTGCAGAGCTGGCTCCCAGGGGCGAGGTGGGAATGCAGAGACGTGAATCACTGGAAACAGGTCTATCCCAGGCACTAGGGAATAGTCCAGCCCAAGCTGGGCTGTGGGAGTGAGGGCAAGAGGGCACCTGCAGGTCCCCAGGTCCTTATGGTGGTGACCTTCAGTCTCCTTTCTCAGGGACCTGGAGTCCTACCTGAGTTCCAAACCCTTCCCCCTCCCGGGCTGATCACTCCAAGGAGGAGCTGGGGAACTGGGAAAGGCCAACAGTCAGCTAAGGGGAGTCAGCTGGCCACTGAGCTGCGTGGGACCAATGATTCTGTGCCCTAGTTGCCTTGTTCCATGTCAATTGCCAAGTTAAGCAAGCTTTTCAACCCCAGTCCCCAAGAGGCCAGGCAGGTTGGGTCTAGGTTATTTGCTGTTAAACAAGGTGAAGCATAGTCAGTGTCCGGAGCTTGGGGGAGGGGTCAGAAGATACAGAGACAGATGATGGCAGCTGGAAGGCAGGCTGGGGGACCCAGTGGTCTATAAGCTTCCTTCCAATTAGAAAACCTCTCTGGCTCCAAGGGATGCAGGAGTGAGGAGGTAAACTGATAGCCAGACAGCAACTCTAGCAAGCCAAAGGTGAGGCTGCTCAGCGCAACTCCCAAGGCTGTAGTCCTGCATGGAGCACTCAGTCTGATGAGCTTCAGGGCCAGGGCTGGCGATGAAGGATCTGAGCTGAGCCACAATTGACTATGTGAACTTAGGCAGTTCTCTTCCCCTCTCTGAATTAAAGTGTATACCCATTTGCATCATGATCAGGAGGGCAAGGAGGGCACAGAGTAGAATGTGAACCTCATTTTAGCCTTAGAATAAAGGTCTTGCCAGTTAGAATAGTTCAGAATTCCCTGGGATGGCAAGCTGGGATAGGAGTCTCTGGGGATTAAAAATAGAAAGAAAAAGGCACACTCCCTAAGGAAAGTGCTTTTTTACAAATATCAACTCATTTAAACCACACAACAACTCTACAAGGTGAGTCCTATTTTACAGATGAGGTCACTGAGGTGCAGAATGGTCAGCAGACACATTCAAGCCCAAACTGACTCTGAAAACAAAACCTTCTTTTTGGTTTTTGGTGCCTTTCTCCAGGCGGGTGACCCTGGCTCCACCACCCCGGCCAGGGCTCTGTTCTCTCTCCTTCATGACTTTCTTGTGCTGGGTGAAGTCTCTGCTGCCTGATCCAGCAGGCCTCCTGGAGGTGCCCTTCACCTCCCTATGTTCCCTCCCTCCCCTCCTCTCTAAAGGAGCTGAGCCAGGCTCAGGTTTCTCCATTTCCAGGCTAAGACTCCTGCCTTGGGCTGGGCTCACTGGTGAGATTTAGCTGATCTTGCGTTTTCCACACACCCTGGGCCGTGGGCTCTGAATGGACACAAAAGGAGTGCTGTACACCCGCCATAGCGGGGCAGGGGGGAGGCTGAGGACAGGCTGCCTTTGCCCTGGGGTCCTCACGGGAGAGAATCACCCCAGTCCCACTGAGCAGGCCTCACTTTGACCCCCACAGAACTCTCTGTGCATGTCTTGCCAGGGGTATTTCTGCGGGCACTAAAGGAGCCAAAACCTCCCAATGGAGCATTAACTCTCTCTCATCTTGGACTAGTTTCTCTTTCAAGTGCTTTCTTTAGCAATCATAGTTTCAGAGGGTTACAGTCAGAGAGGCCCTTAGAAGTCATTGACGTTCAGTCCTTTTGGTTCCAGAAAGAATACCTAAGGTCCTGAGAGGGCAAGGATATGCTCAGAATTGCACAGCAAGACAGCCATGGAGGCAAGTCAGGACCTAAGGTTCCTGACTCTTCCAGGGGACTGTCTTTTCCAGCTTAGCTCCCTGCTGGGCCTCAGGGTCAGCACCTATCTCTCACCAGGCAGAAGATCACCCCCTAACACTCACCAATACCACCACATAACGTCTTAGAGAAGCATGCCCTTGAGAGTGAAGTGGGAGGCACCCAGAGACCCAGATGAAAGGCAAAGGCCAGCAGAGTAGAACCTGAAACTGTGTCAGTAGAGGTGGGGGGACAGTCTAAAGCATAACTATGTCCTACTTTTTTCCTGTCTTGGAACCTCACGCCCACCCCTGTGACCTACACTTGAAGGGATAGGAGAGGCTGAGGGGAAACCAGGCTTACGGTTTTGCTCTTTACTGATGCTTGAAGGTCTATAGCAGAGTCACTGGCCACTCCTTGGTTTCTCCTGGGAACCTGTCCCTTCAGCAACGCTGCACCGCTCGCACCCGATTTTCCAGACATTTGCCCCTGCTGCCGAGACGAGCTGAATTCCTTGGCCACAAGAGGGTGCAGGCGCTCCATGACGTCCTTGAGTTGGGAGGAGCGCTTTATCCCAGCGGGGGGGGGGGGGGGGGGGGGGGAGGCAGCCGGAGTTTGTATTCGGCTCCCCAACTCCTGGCACCCTCCCATTTCCTCTTGGAAGCCTCCTTAATCCTCTTATGCCGAGGGTCACATCCCCAGGCCCGAGGATGAGGTGTTTCATTTTCAATTCGCCCCCACTGCCCCAGGGGGAGCTCCATGAAACTTGGGAGGGGAGATCCCAGGGCCACAACCCTCTTTCTGCCCCTCTGCTGACCCAGTCTCCAGCTGCTCTCTTCGGCTTGGGCTTGTCTCTTTATGGGGGGTGTCTCTTTCCTACCTGCCTGCCCTCCATTCTCCTCCTGGCTCTGCTTCTCCCTTCCCGTCAGAGCCCTTGTTCCAGTCTCTTGGGTCTTCCCTCTCCTTTCTCCCTTATCAGCTTTCACCCCTTCTCCTCCCCCTCTTTCTCCTGGCTTCCCCTCTCCTCTCTTCCTTCTCCTCTGCTTCCTCTCTTCTCTCCCTTCTGCCCTTGCTCTGCAGTGGCCTGTCAGGCTGGCCAAGTGGCAAGTTGGCATCCAGTGGGCAAGGCCAGTGCCCTGCCCTTGCGGGCAGAGACAGGGAATCAGGTGGGGAAGTCGGAGCTGCAGGAATAAGGAGTGGAGGAGGCTCTGGGTCAGACACTCTCTTCAGTTCTCATAAGCAAGAACAGCCTGGGGTCCTGGGGTTGAGGATTGGGGGCCTGGTCTCAGCTCTAGCCCTGACTGCTGTGTGGCCTTCCTGTCCTCTTCTCTCTCTCCCTGGGCTTCAGTTGCCCCTGAAGACAATGGAGGGCTAGCTACAGCTCTTGTTATATTGTCTTATTTCTCAGCAGTGACTGTCAATCCCAGGAGAGCCAAGTGCTGCTTTTCCCAGATTTGCCCTCTGTTCTCAACATCCCTCTTTAGAATGCCGGGGACCCTTGGTGAGACAGACAGGGGCTGTTGCCCAGGAGAGGGACTGGGGCTGGGTGCAGCATGTATCAGCATGTGGGGAGTCTGATTGGCATCCTTGTTCACTGCCTTGGGCACCTCTGGGGGCAAGGGATTGTATGTAGGATGTGAGTGGTGCAAAGGATGCGGGGTAGAGGTTGGTCAAACACAAACACATAGCCTCACCCCACCTCAAATTTGAACCCTAAGCTACAGCCCCTGAGGCCATGGGCACCTTCCAAATCCAGGCTTTCAGAGGAATCTAGCCCCCGTGGCATGAGTGAGGAAGTCGAGGTCCAAACAGGGGCAGAGGCTTATCCAGGTATAGGCAACAAGGGAGCAGCAAGCTGAGGCTGGACCTCGAGGCTCTTGCCTCCTCAAATTGTGAGCATGCTGGGGCTGTGAGGCTGTAGATGAGGTATCTCAAGGTGTCACCACCCTGGTTGGGCATCAGGCAGCTGGTAGAGGGAGGGGGGTGTGCTTGGTAAGCCAGGACTGGGGTCCTAGGGATGGTTGCCTGCTCCCACCTCCTGTGATGGGCACACCCCATCCCAAGGTATGAGGCAGACCTGGGACGGCTGTGTCCCACCACAGCTGGAGGGTAGCACCCCTGCCTGACAGTGTAATTTATCACATTCCCCCTCTCTTCCTTCAGCCCCCAACCTTCCCAAAGGCCCCAGAGAGGGCCCGGCCTGACTTAGAGGCGATTCACCTGGTTTTGATTTGAGACTCAGGTGGACTTTTCTTTCTTCTCATCAAAGAAGTAGTGAGGGGAAGGCAGGGCCCCATCCATCACCCCAGCCTCTCAGCAACCTTGGGTGGGGGAGGGGGGTAGGCTCAGGGATCTTGAAGTTTCCTTACTTCCCAAAGGCAGCTTCCCAAACAGCCAAGCCGGGCATTGCTGGTGCAAACATTTAGATCTTGGTCACAAATGCTCAGGGGCATCCGCCTGAGGGTTCCTGTGGATCTCTGGAGGTTCTGCAGCCAATTTTTCTTTTCTAATCCCTGCTGTCTGGGGAACCAGAGTGGTAGTGTGTGTGGGGGGGTGTTCAACAAAGATGAGGCTTGGGCCCCAAACAAAAGCAGAACAAAGATTTAGCCTGGGGCGGGGAAGGGGGAGGAGAAGAGGGAGAGCCACAGCAGAGGGAATTCATTTAATTTTATCACCTACACTGTGCCAGACACTGCTCTATGTCATTTTTCTGCCTCCTAACACTGCCCAGTTTTCCAGATGAGGAAACTGAGGCTCAGAGAGCTAAACCACAAGGGAGTCAAAATGGGAGTCAGATTCAAGGTCACAGCTGTTTGGCTCCAAAGAGAAGGCAGAGGAGGGAAGTCTGGTGTCTGGATGCTGGCACTTTCTGGAAAGAGATGAGTTGTTCCAATCCTAGGCATGCCCACGCCAGTGTTAACCCACTTGGAGTCTTTGTGCAATTTACAAAACCACACTTTCACCCAGCAATGACCTATCCCTGGGGCTGGTCATGGGGCCTGGTGCAGGAGCAGGACCAAATTTCAGCACTCACTGTTCTCCTGTGCTCAGCCCACATGGCCATCCTCAGTGGCCCTCTCAGACTTGCCTTTCTAGAGATTAGGCCCAGGAAATCCTGGTTAGAGAGGGGACATGAGGGGCTGATAGACTTGATGACAGTGCACTGTGCTCTCAGTTCCTCTTCCCCCTTTATGGTGGTCAACATCATCACCACTATTATCTCAGGCATCCTTGAAATACAATTACTAATAACAAGGGCCCTGTTGCAGCTCAATATGTTTGTAATTCTTTTCCCGAAGCATCCCATTTTCTTCCTACTGGACTTTTTCCTCCTCATTACACCCCTTTCAGTTTCCAGCTCACAAAAGTACGTGTCCTGGGGCAATATGTCTGTGGCCCTGCAGTGGGGCCATGGCCCCTGGGTGGTCTGCAGAGACCAGAGAGAGGTAGGGAAGGAAGCAGAGCACTGTGTGGGCTCAAGTGTGCTGACTTGGTTGCTATGTGGCCTTGGATGAAGTGCTCTTGCCTCTGGCCTAGCTTCCCATCTTCAACCTGATGGGGCGGAGTAGATGATATCCAGGCCGATCACATCCAGCCTGACCTCTCAGAGTGCTGGAGCTGAGTTTGGAAGTCACACTCCCTTCTATGAACTGAATGATAAATAAGGGGAACTTCTCCGGGGTAGGACACCAAAGGAAAGGTGGGGGAATGGAAAGAAAGTCCTAACTTTGCTGCTTCCTAGCCATGTGACCCGGGGCAATTTATTTCCTGTATCTGAGCTTGTTTCTTCAACTGAACAATGAAGAAAGTTGCATCTCCCCTCCTGTCAGGAGTCAATAAAATAATACACAGGGTAGGCATGCGTGCATCATTTATTCAGTCAACATTCCTTCCATAGCCTAAAGAGGTAGAATGGTGTAGTTATTGTGCAGGCTCCGAGCCAGACTGCCTGGGTTCAAAACCCAATTCTACCTATTATTTGTGTGACCCTGGTCAAGTGATTTCACCTGAGTTCCAGTTACCTCTTCTCTAAAGTGGGGCACCTGCCTCACAGGACTGTTGTAAGGATAAAGTGAATTAATACATGTAAAAAATTTGCTGCTCAGCACACAGTAGAAGCTCATTAAACATCATGACACCATTCTAAATTCTGGGGTGAAGTGGGAACAAGATGAACAGGCCCCTGCTCACACGTGAGCAGTCAATAAATATTGGGTCCTTTCCCTCTTCCTATTGTTCTCCCCTGTGAGGGGGGATAAAGTGATGTGTTGGATAGTTTGAGCTAAAACTCATCCTTTTTTCCTTCCTTCTTCCACCCAATCCATAAATATGAAACAAATATTCACTCCCACAATGAAGATTCATTGCATACCTTGTGGGGCTCTGTGCTGAATGCTGAGAATGTAGAGATGAATGTGATTCAGACTTCATTCACTATGCACGTGTGTGTGTGTGTGTGTGTGTGTGTGTGTGAGAGAGAGAGAGAGAGAGAGAGAGAAAGAGAGAGAGAGAGAGAGAGAGAGAGAGAGATTGAGATTATTCATGAGGAAAGATACGAGGTGTGACACAAATTCAGTGTGGCTGGGGTTTCGGTGGGAGTGGGGTATACTTCTTACCTGGTCTCTAAAGCATTATTTACAGAGGCACCTACCAGGAGCCAGGTACTGTTCTTGGTTCTCTCACCACAAGCCAGCTACTACACTGCATTTCACAGATGAGGAGACAGAGTGGGCCGCCCACCTAGCAAAAGGCCAAGTTGAAGCCAGCCAAGTCTGTCCACTTCTCTGATGTCTGTACACAGCAAGACAGCTTGTGTGTGTTTGGCAAGGTGGAGGGGGTGGAGGACTAAAGACGGGGATGCCTGAGGGTCTGGGCATGCTGCAATGACCAGAACCTGCTGCCCCACAGTGGGGACATCTGTACAGAAGGAAGCATCACGGCCTAATCTGTTTTCTGTCTCTTCCTGCCCAGGAACTCACCATAAGGAAGGCTTAGACTTTCCACCCCTGACACACACCCGGCAGGCAAGTGTGCACGTGCACGCGCGTGCACACACACACACACACACACACACACACACACACACACACCTCCATCCTCCCCTGCTCCTAGAAATATCAAAGCAGTGGAGCTGCAAGGGAAATGAATGGCAGCAGAGCAAGTGGCCTAGGAGTGGTGTCAGGCTCCATAAATATTTACCCGCTGGATTAGAGCAGAAGTTGGGAACATCAGGCAGCTGAAAATGACTGTTTTAATGGCATGGCTGATAAATCCAAACTTAGGAGGTTTGTTTGGAAGTCTCAGCTTCTGGGAATTCCAGCATGTAAACTATGGACCCGGGGTGGCTGGGAACAGAGCGGTGGAGTGTGGGTGTGGGCTGCTGGGTGGGTCTGCCTGAGGAGAGTGCCTTCAGGCCAGAGAAGATCCAGTGCCTCAGGCTACAGCCATCCAGAAGGTGCAGCCACCAGTCATTCCTCATTCATGCATGCATCAGTG